GCTGGCTCCGGCATGGTAAGGGGGTGGGAAGCGGGGGGCAGTCAGGGGACAGGGAGCAGTTGGATAGAGCGGAGGTTCGGGGGTGGGGCGGTCAGGGGACGGGGAACAGGTGGGGTTGGATAAGCGTAGGAGTCCCAGGGGACCTGTCAGGGGACAGGGGTGTGGATAGGGGTCGGGGCAATCAGGGAGCAGGGGGTTGGATACGGGGTGGGGTGGTTGTGGGGGGGGGGTCCTGGGAGGGGACGGTCAGGGGATAAGGAGCAGTGGGGGTTTGGATGGGTTGGGAGTTCTGAGGGGGGCAGTCAGGGGGCGGGAAGTGGGAGGGGGAGGGGGTCAGGCTGTTTGGGGAGGCACAGCCTTCCCTACCCAGTCCTCCATACAGTTTTGAAATCCGATGTGGCCCTTGGGCCAAAAAGTTTGCTCACCCCTGAACTAAAAGCAGAAGCTACTTGGCTGGTATCAGTGCATTTATAGTCTATCCTGCTAAATTAGGAGTCATTTTAGAAGAAACAAAACATATCTTTTTATTATAATGTATTTTTTATTACTAGATGTTAAGGCTAGAAGAGACTGGACATTTATATGGATAAGAATATTCAGAGCAATCATAATAATTATGCTAAAATTTTTGGAAGGGATAATAAATCTCATGTTTAAAACCCTAAACCAATGTCCAACTATTAGAGATCAGGATGAGACCTAATATGCAGAGCAGATTATCCTATATCTGCATATTGTAGAGTTTGTACATCCTGAAGCATGTGGCACTGGCCATTGTCAGAGACAGGATTAAGTTTACCTCAGAAAAGCTATTCCAGAGTTCCTATACTCTAATCTGACCTGCTGCATATCACAGGGATATCACACCCAGTAATTACTACAATGATACCAATAATTTATGGGCAAACTAGAGCATATTTTTTTGGAAGACATCGAAAAACTACTATTCATTTGATAAAGAGTCTGTACCATCTACTGAATTCAATCTCCCATATTCCAGAGTTTTAGCTATTTCATCATTTTATTTTTCATTCACTTAAACTTTTATTAGCTTGATGTTGACTCTGTGAAAGTATTAGGTTAAGTACGTTTTGCTACGATAAACAGCATTTGATAATGGATAACATCTATGAAATATTTACTTATTGTAATTGTAATTAATTGCTGCTAAGTGTGCATTAAGTAACCTGATTGATTAGCTTCCTTCCTTCTTCCCAACTCCTTTCTTTTTTAGTGAACCCAGCAATTGTGGACTTAGTTATAAATTCTAAGCAAAATTGCTTGGGATTTTGGAGTTTATATAGTCTTTTTTATTGAAAGACATAAAAAGGCATAATCTCCATTAATTCCTGTTTTCAGTCAGGCCATAAATATCTGGATAACAGGCTCTTTTATAGCATTTTGGCACTTTTGTATCTGGTTCTGGCCAGAAAAAATAAGTGCACAGACATATGAAAATGAAACATAAAGAAAAAAATAATAATTGAGGTGTAAGCTGATGGAGCTCCCAGCCCAGCTCCAAACAAAAATTATACACCCGAGGAGTCAAAAAGTCATCCCCCCTTCCAGTGTTTATTTGATTAGCAAATGTGTTATTCCAAAATAATACTGCATGAAATCTCAGCCTAAACTTCCTCTTCAGAGCTGGATCTTCATGGGATTCTTTCCTACATCCTAGATCCCTTTCCTAGCATGCTATTCCCACCTCGTTTATATTCAGGGTGGAGTCTAACAAGAAAGACCCGCACTGGGATATTTTTGTAGAAAAGGCACTGAGATAGGACTCAGGAGATCTGAGTTCAATTCCCACTTCTTTCACGGACTTCCTGTATGTGCTTTGGCATGTCATTTAATGTCTCTGTGCTTCAGTTTCCTATCTGTAAAATGATAAGAAGACTTCCCTATCTCACAAGGATGTTATAAGGATTAACACAATGTTTGTGAGGTGTCAAATACTACAGCAAGGAGGGTCACAGAATGAATGAGAATCTATCAGCATTAGTTAACCTGCAGGGCTTCAAAACCTGATAAAGTAGGGCAGCTCATTATACTTGGTTTTTAAACATCAAAAGCAGTTTGGGTCCAGTGGTTTGATTCAAGCTGTTGGCTAAAATTTGAGTCACTTTGATTTGATCCAAACCAGTTTCCCTATCCCAAATCTATAATAGATTTTAATTTAAATGAGCAAAAAACAAACAACAAATGTTTTGATATAAACGTTAAATAAGCATCTAGTTGTGAAAATTCCTGCTTCTGCAGTCCTTATTCATGTTACATAGAACTTGATATAACTACTCATGAATAAGTACCCCACAGAATCAGCAGAGACTTAAAAAAACTGGGCCCTAAATTAAGGAATATAATATAGACACATGATAATATAGACGAAGATCCATGTTCAAAACGGCATTTGTTTGGTTTATTTTTTAAGATTTGTTTCTATGGTGGATTTTCACTGAAAGCCTTTTAGAAAAGGCGTGTTTTACAAGTCTTTGAATGGAATTGTCACCGTTGTTATTTGAACTGGGAAAATCTAAACTCACAAAAATGGGCCTAGCCAGTAACCTGCCCACCTTTGCCATCTCCATGCTAGATAAATATCAGCATATACAGAATATGGCTGCTTACCTGCTCCTCAATATAAATATGTGAATCAGCGAGACCATCTCTTTGCCCACTGAGCAGACTTTCAGTGAGCCAAGAAATACACTTTAAGATATTAACACTGATAATGCCAATAACGACGTAATAATCCAGGATTAAGGCTCTAGCAGGTCCAAATTTCACCCAGTATTCCACTAAGGCAATTGAGATCAAGTGGATTTGACTTAGTTTGCTGCCCTGTGGTTCAATTTGTATTTGGGCAGGGCACTTGTAGGGGTTTGCCGTGAAACTTCTCCGAAGATGCCTGTCAGAACCCATCCTTGGTTGCTCACAGAAGTCGCAAAGCATTCCCTGTTTGGCTGGTTTAATCCATTGACATTTAGATCTTCATCTCCATATACCTTTATGCACATGTTGGAGTTAGTGGTTGGCTCTCTAGGTGTCAACAGCTGGGCATGATACATGTTTATTAAGTTGCAGCTTGATTTTGATACACTTACTCATGTGGAGTAGTGCTTTACTCCTTGAGTAGTCCCACATATTTCAATGGGACGACTCAAGAGCAAGGTGCTACTCCAACATGAGTAAGAGTACTGCGATCGACAGCCCTTAGTGAATGATTTTATGTACAGCAACTGGGTGCCTGTTTATTGAGCATTCATCACTGAATCTCTGAAGTAAACAAACATCAAAAGGAGAACAATGAAAGTGCCTTTTCATACCGGCTAAGACTCCTTGATATCTCCAGTACTACTGTATGGATCCACAGCCCTCTTCTCTGGTTCTTCCACCATCGAGTTGTTCTTATTTCTTACATAGAAGTTCTCATCCTAGCAATTTTTACCACTACTTTCAGTGTGCATTCTCAGTGCGCAAAGCAGCAGGAGTGATCATGCAACCCTTTTCTAACACTTGATGCAGTCAACTTTAAATTCCTCATGTGGTCATCATGGTGTGAGTACCTTATTTACTGCTGGGATATTCAAGTGTGTACCTTCCCTCTTCATTCCCTTTCTTCTCTCTTTCACTCAGTCTCATGCCAGGGTAGTGTCAGTCTCCCTGTCCACCTTACACTCATGGGTGGCGGGTATCATAGGTGAGGGGAAGCTGTGCCTCCCCAAACAGCCTACTGTGGCCCCACCCCCAGGCCAGCGTGCCTCCTGCAGGGACTTGGGGCCCCTGGTGGTAGGCCATGCTGACTGCCCGGTGCTCCAGGGCTGGCCGCCCAGAGCCCCAGGGCTGGGAGTGCAGCGACTGCGCCGTCCAGGAACTGTGGGCGCTGAGGCTGCTGCGCACCGGGGTTGGGGCCTCGCCCCCCCCACCCC